GTAACTTGTCCATATTATCTATATAAAATACAACTTTTCTGTATATACAATTCTTATTGAAATATTTTATATAATTTATCTGAACAGTCTTTCAATAAGTGCTGCTCTTATCGCAAAACCTTCACCCGGTTGCCAATGTGGTTCATTATTTGGCATATCGATTTCATTATATTGTTCTTCTTGTTCTTCCTCTTCTAAAATGTCACTAAAGGTTAATGCCAAATTATGTAGTACGGCACAAGCGACTACAATTGTAGTTGAACAAATCAACTTGTTGCTTAACCCTCTCGATAGGCATGGAAATCTACGCTTCCAAACTCCAAACGTTCTTTCGACAACCTGACGTGTTCTTCTATGAAGTACGTTGTAACTGTAATAAGAAATATTTGTATTTAATATTAAATTTATAAACCCTAAATTAGCTGTATTTTTTAAATATTTTTAAAAACATTTTTGACAATAATTTTAACAGTTGGTAACAATATTCTTATATATATATATAGCAAATTAGAATTTCAAAATGATGAATTATTACAAATATATAATACTAACGCGTTTTCCTCCTCTGTTCGTGGATTTTGAATTGGAGTTAAAAGAAATGGTAGACAAGGATACCCAGCATCTCCTATTAGAGTACCTGTAAGTTGCCGTTCAACATATCTCATGTATATCCTAGAGTTTTGAAAAATTCGACTGTCATGCTGTCCACCTGGCCATTCTGGTACAATATCCAGAAATTCTGTTCTAGGGCCTACGACAGCCTGTATACAGATACATAAAAGAAAATATGATTAGTAAGTATTAATATTTATAGCAAAATATGTATATAATAACATTAATTATATTAACATCAATTATATAACATATAATAATCAATAACTGTTTTTTCTAAAAAATTATGCCGTTACAATAATTGTATATTTACAAGTCTATTTATACATACCTGTACATTTAAAGAAAAATATCCCTTTCGGTTTCTGTAAATTTCCTCAACGTTATGAAAATTAGTACCGACTAAGCGTATATGCGTACAATCAATTGCTCCTTCGATACCAGGCAAACCAATACCTCTATTACCACGTCCAATATCTTTAAAAAGTCTTTTATTTTCTTGTATGGCATCTGGTGAAGAAGGCATCTTTATAATTTCATTTAAGAGTCTTGCTAAAAGTAGAGATACTCGAAAAACTATTCTTGAAACAGTTGGCTGTGAGACGATTATCGTATCTCCAAGTACTTGCTGCAAAAATATTAAACTATATTAATACCATAATATTGCAAAAAAGATTTGTGTAAAACATTCTCTAAAATAATTATATTTTTCTTATACATAATTGGGTGCTTTCTATTTACTGACACAAGTAGACACAAGTGTCTCTGCCTTGTTACTCATTGAATGCAAAGAAAGATTTCTAATGATATTTGTGTCGACTTGTGTCAATAAATGGAAAACACCCTATATATATATATTATATCTTACATGTTTTATTATATAATTACGTATATAATTACATACTTACTTGAAAACTGCCTGTTGCATAGAATCGTAGACAAATTAACAATTGACACAGTGGAGGAATAGGAAGGCCACGGTTATTATCACGTATTAGTTCATTTTCTATCTTAGGTAGAATTCCATATAGAATAGACTCTTTATTAAACCTAAACCGCCTTTTAAATTCTCGGTTGTAATAATATTCAAACGGATTCATCCAGTCTCTTATGTATCTTTTCGGAGCTCGTAGTACATAACCTCCATCGTCGTCAAAATCGATTTCATCCATTTCATCTAAATTAATATTTCTTATGTTCTCTATTTCCATTTTAAACAAAATATCGAATTTGTCACATCAAAGATAAAAATAACGATTTGTATCACTTAAAAAGCTGTTACACTTTACTGGTAAATATATAAGAATATCTTAAGTCTACTTTTAACTCGACTTGGATTTTAACCGATTTTGTCTTGCTAGAGAAATGCTTAGGATCATCTTAAATGATTATGAATTTGACAGTAATAAGATAATCTTAAGATGATGCTTATGTGAAATAAGATATGTTCATGAATCCCGTTGAAACGTCTTAAGATTGCCTTCAAATAAGATAGACTTTCATAAGTCACAGCTTGAACTTTCTCTTGAGTTCTGTCTTATTCACTGTCTGTGAATCTAGAGGGCATCTTAAGATCGAACTTAAGACGATCTTAAATATAAGAAGCGACTATGAATACCGCCCTTCATCACATTTTGCATAACCAGCTTGAGAAGCTCGCGCACGTACACTTCCACAAGCACTTCGTCCCGGCCGAAACGATTCTTTAAACTTGCGATTGCACCGTCATAGTTCTCTTCGATGGGAGGGAAACTGGCAACTAGTTCAGCTGCACGCGACTCTGGTGTCATCGCCTGTAGTAGATACTGAAACTTGTCTCCTTTGTTGATGTTAGCATCCTCGTGTATCTTTTTGAATTGCGACCAGAAGGGCAGCCATTCCTTCACGTCCCCGCTGAATTTTTTCAATTCGATTTTAGGCAGTTTTATCATAGGTTGGGCGCTGACGAGATGTGTCTTATCGACTACCGAGTTCATAGTATTGTTCCCGGCATTGTTCGCCGCGGTCGGTAAATGTGTCATGGCAGCCATCCGTGCACGTATATATTTGCGCTTGTATTCGTCATTGCTCGTCATCTCCGCATCGATTGTCTCTGTCTTCACATTTTCCGTCTCTATCAGGCACGTAATGTAGACCGAATTGGCCTCTTCTAACGCCTTGTTCTTTTCTTCGAGAACTTGTAGAAATACTTGTAGCTCGGTCAGATCCGTGGCGCCTGTATTCGCATCCGTTATTCTCAGAACTAAGTCGTTCAACGCGCGCGTGAAAGCCGTTCGCATTACGGTGCGTTTCTTCTTTGCAGCTTCCATCTTGGATGCTCGATTTCACACGCGACACAACCCGACGATTATATCCTTCACTCACTGTCCTGTCACGGTCGCCAAAAATGTTAATAATCGAAGGATAATCGGGATAAGAGAGGTGAACGGAAGAAGTATATCCAGCGAGAACTTAAACTGTTTATATAATAACGATAAGATTTTCGTACAGAGTCTTGTTTTCTACGTGCACGCGCTACCGATCTTCGTACATTCTACTACACACTTCTGCCAACCTAAATTAAGGACCTTCTTCAATGCCCACGCTCACAATAGCAGCGCCATCCCAGTATTACCACTTTAAGGCTAGAACCTTTTCAATATTTATGCTCACGGTAGCAGCGCTCACACAGTATTACCACCTTAAATCTAGAACCCTTT